ATTGGCATACTATGTATAGGCCTATATGAACTGTATACTAGAGCAATAGTAAGAGTATGCCAGCATGCTAAACATAGCCATGGGCATTGGGCAACTGCAGTCTTCAAAAAATATTAAGCTTTTTGTAATAAGAAAACAAAGGATTATTGAAGCCATCAATGAATTGCTCTTTGCCTGTCCATGTAAATGTCTCACTTATTACCTAGGAGACATTGAGACTATTTTAGTTCTGGTGTATGGCTGCCGAAGTGATTTACAGAAATGAATGAGTCTTCTAATCAAGCTGAGAGCGAATTAGACCTTGATAATGCACCAGAGATAATGAGCGACACATGACTTTACCATCTATGCAATGACACCTGCCCAGTGGTGCAAATCCACCAAATAGATCTTAATGAAATGAGAATGTGTTCTGCCGCCATTACAACAAATACCTCTGGTGTGTCAAGGCTATTTATGAACTGAAGGTTCTGATATGTTAGTAGATTAGGTTAAGCATTAGAGAAAATAATGAAAAATATGTGGATTTGATTAGCTGCTTCTTCTGAAAATATTGAGATTGATGTTTACTCTCATAATGAAAGCTGCAAAGAATAAATGGCGGATGATTTGCTTACTTTTTGAATGGGACGTCATCAGTGCACCGGCCAGGGAGTCAGTCGCTTCTAAGGTGTCCCGTTGTCAAAATCGCTCGAGTGCACTGAAACGTACAATCCCTTGAAAATTACAAAAATGCTTTGGCTGCTCATTATATTTACTTCAGAAATGTCTCCTTAAGTCTCCCAAGAGTGATTATATAAAGACAACATTTTATTTGTTCTGTTTTTAAAAGAGTAATTGTCTATCATCTCTAATGTGCATGATGCGTACAGCCCTGCAAATATGTTTGGGAAGTATTATATAGGATTTAGAGTTTTTTCTGCAATTTTATTCTACTGAGATTCTACAAATTACATTTTTGGTAACAGTGTAAAAGTCGGTAACACTTTACTTGAAGGGGTGTGCATAAGACTAACATGACACCATATTCATAACATGTGTCATGTCATGATTATGAAGAAGGAAGTTTTATGCATGTTTGTGACAACTGTCATTAAGTGTCATTCGCTCAGTTATGACATTTTTAATGCAAATATGACATTGTTTGAGATGTCTTTGTTATGACACCTTGACATAAACCAATACATCATAACCTGTCAGTGTCTTTGTCATGACAACTTGACATTACCATAACCTGTCATAAACATGACATAGCAGATTAATTATCAAACTTAAGAAACCACTTAGCTTTATTGGTTAACATTACATTAAACTGTCAGGTGGTTGGTTTTGACATTGGCTGTCATGAAGCCATTATAACTGTTTAATGACAAATTCAATTTGTACCACTATGGTTGAGGTCACGAAAAATATTCATGACACAGTTATAATGGCCTCATGACAGCCAATGTCAAAACCAACCACATGACAGTTTAACTTAATTTACTGTCAAGTTGTCATGACAAAGACACTGACATGTTATGGTTTATGTCAAGGTGTCATAACAAAGACATCTTAAACAATGTCATATTTGCATTCAAAATGTCATTATTGAGCGAAAGACACTTAATGACAGTTGTCATAAACATGCATAATCCCTACTTCATATTCATGACATATGTCATGTCATGGTTATGAAGGTGTCATGTCAGTCTACCCTAATCCTTGCTGAATATAAGGTATTTATAAAAAAAAAAAAAAAATCTTACTGACCCCAAACTTTTGAATGGTAGTGTACATAGATCTGTTTTTCTTAACCCCAAAAAATGCAGGGCAAGTTCTTATGAATCCTTATTTCACTGCAGTTTTCAACAGCTACTGTACAATGAAAATGCATGATGATGTATTATACAGGGATGTTGCCAGCTATGTTTTAATGCACAATGCCATAATCATGTCATCAGTGTCCCAGTGTTTAATGGATGAAAGCCTTTGTTAATTTCACATTTATATGTTCATGATATACTAATTCACACCATGGGGACATTTGAAAGTGGAAGGAAGCACAGACACATTTGTGGTTGTTGAGGCTTTCTTAAAGACTTTTTTAAAATTCTCATGTCTTTATAAATTAAGGAATATCTAATTATAGGATGACTATTTTGGAAGTGAAACCACAGCATAATTAATCACAATCCACTGCAAGCCAATTAGCTCTTTCCGTTGCCCCGCCCCCTCTCTTCAGTATCGCACGTTGCCGTCACTCGGTTATTGTCTATGGTTATTGTTCAACTGCAATGAACTGACAGATGCGGCAGCAGACTCTCTCTCCCTACCTTATGAAGTAATAACATGGCTGACTGACCTCAACAGGAAGCCAGCAGTGATATGCGGTTGACATTCGACAGCGCTGTGCATATAGAAAAAGCCAGTGAAAATGACCCCACGTCTCTGGCTGTTGTCCAGTACAAACGACAGAAAAAGAGGAATGTGCACTCGGGAAATATAATGTATTCTTTCAGCATGATTCCTAGATATTTAAAACCTGTATGTTTCTCTGTGAAGATGGTAAGAAAAGGGTTGGCCGAGAGGGGAGGAGGGGTTGTACTACGCCTTTCGACAATGATGAATGTGTTTAGGGCAGAAGTACCTGCGTGAGAGAAGCCGAGGTTTCCATGATGAAATGCTGCATTGTAATTTGCCACCTTGTGATTTGTAAATTCTCCCACCTCCTCTTCATCTTTTATCCCTCCACCTCCCTTTTCTTCATGCAAGTGCACTGTGAAAACTGTCTGTGAATCTATAAAACTCATCGGATCTTTAATTAGAGCTAACACCACAACATCTGTCATATGCTGTAATCAGTGTGGTTTTTACAGTTACAAATCTCTTGATAGTACTACCAACCTAGATCCTGTAAAGGTGAAAACAAAACAGTTTTTAGTAGTCAGTTGTAAAGCTGTACATACACTGTAGCTATCAGTGACATTCAATTCAACGTTTGGGGTCGAGTCTCTTATGCTCAGAGGCAGCATTTATTTGATCAGAAATACAGTACAAACAGTAATATTGTGACATTATTATAACTTAAAATATCTTTTTTCTATTTTAATATATATTAAAATATAATGTGTTCCTTTGATGAAAAGCTGAATTTTCAGCATCATTACTCCAGTCTTTAGTGTCATGATCCTTCAGAAATCAGTCTAAAATACTGTTATTCCTGTTATAAATATTATTCCTAATTATTATCGATGTAAACAACAATTGTGCTGCCTAATATATTTGTGGAAACCGTGATACATTTGTTTCAAGAATCTTTGACAATTAAAAAAAGTAAAAACAGTATTTATTTGAAATAGAAATGTCTTTACTGCCACTTTGATCAATTTAATGTGTCCTTGCAAAATAAATGTATTTATTTCTTTTATTTATTTATTAATAAATATAAAATTATTGACCTGATTTTTTTTTTAATGGTTAGATTTCCATTTGTTGTTTACACAGGGGCTGGATTTAAAGGGATACTCCACTTTTTTTTGGAAATAGGCTCATTTTACAACTCCCCCAGAGTTAAACTGTTGAGTTTTACCGTTTTTGAATCCATTCAGCCGATCTCCAGTTCTGGCGGTACCACTTTTAGCATAGCTTAGCATACATCATTGAAGTGGACAAGACCATTAGCATTTCTAAAAAAAAAAATGACCAAAGAGTTTCGATATTTTTCCTATTTAAAACTTGACTCTTCTGTAGTTACATCGTGCACTAAGACCGACGGAAAATGTAAAGTTGCGATTTTCTAGGCTGATATGGCTAGGAACTATACTCTCATTCCTGCGTAATAATCAAGAAACTTCACTGCCGTACCATGAGAGCAGCAGGCGTAATGATATGACGCAGCGCCTGAAAATAGGCTACCTTCCGTCAACACAACGGAACTATTTTCAGGCGCTGCGTCATATCATTGCGCCTGCTGCACTCATGGTACGGCAGTGAAGTTTCTTGATTATTACGCAGGAATGAGAGTATAGTTCCTAGCCATATCAGCCTAGAAAATCGCAACTTTACATTTTCCGTCGGTCTTAGTGCACGATGTAACTACAGAAGAGTCAAGTTTTAAATAGGAAAAATATCGAAACTCTTTGGTCATTTTTTTTTTAGAAATGCTAATGGTCTTGTCCACTTCAATGATGTATGCTAAAAGTGGTACCGCCAGAACCGGAGATCGGCTGAATGGATTCAAAAACGGTAAAACTCAACAGTTTAACTCTGGGGGAGTTGTAAAATGAGCCTATTTCCAAAAAAAGTGGAGTATCCCTTTAAGACCTTACACTTTCAACAAGCAACCAATGTTTTTTGACAGATCGTGTTATGTCTGGCATAATCCGATTCGCCAAAATAAATGCATCAGATTCCCCCTGAGCTCTATATTATTATTACAATCTTTTTTATCCATGAATTTTTAATACCCAGCACTTCTTTATATTCTCAAAAAAAGAAAGCATTCCTGTCACTTTAAGATGAATCACTTATGTTGTATTCCTCATTTTTAAGTCACTTTGCATAAAAGTGTCTTCTATATGAAGAGATGTAAATGTAGAGGAGAATTAATAAATGCAAGCTATTGGTTGGATACTCCACTTGTTCACTTGTTGAACTTGACAGTTCAAAATCTTTTATCTGAATTATTCACCAAGTGGAGAAGTGACAATAGTGTTTGATCTTTTTCTTTTGAGTCTGAGGTGGGAGTTGTCGTGCATGAGAAGGCATGAGAAATATCACACAGCAAATCATCAGAAGCGATACAAATGCAATGACAGTTTCCCTCCATTTGAAGTGATCATAAGGCTCTCAGTGGGAGTTGCCCTCCTTCCACGGGCATTTCCATATCATGATATGCATGTACACATGTGTTTTGTTGCGATACTGTATTTCATGGCACAGTCTATTTGAAGATGGATACTGGGTGGATTTAGTATGTAACTAATCAATTTCCTGTTTGTTTCACTTTTTTTGTGCAGGGTCTTCATGAGGAATGTCAGTACCTCTTTCAACCTCAGCTCATTGTTCAGAGGCTCATTGGCATTTCAGTGCTGTATCCTGGTTACTTCATTGACCAGATGATTCCTCTTCACAACAGATCTGTACTCTACAAGTGAGTGACTAATTTTAAATGACACACACACACACACGTTTTATGGGGACTTTCCATAGATGTAGTGATTTGTATACTGTACAAACTGTATATTCTATCCCCTTAAACTAACCCTATCCATAAACCTACCCATCATCACACAAAACTTTCTGCATTTTTACATTTTCAAAAAATATCACTTAGTATGATTTATAAGCTGTTTTCCTCATGGGGACCAAAACATGTCCCCACAAGGACAAGGATTTCGGATATTCCCATCTGTGTGGGGACACTTTGTCCCCATAATGTATACCATGCTTTTAATTATCAAGCGTGCATTAAATTGATCAAAAGTAACTGTACAGACATTTATAATGTTTCTTTTAAAATATTTCAAATAAATGTTTTTAAATGTGTTCATCAGAGAATCCTGATTTTTTTTTTATTATCACGGTTTCCACAAAAATATTAAGCAGCACAACTGTTTTCAACATTTATAATAATAAGAAGTGTTTCTTGAGCAGCATATCAGCATATTAGACTGATTTCTGAAGGACCATGTGACCCTGAAGACTGGAGTAATGATGCTGAAAATTTCAGCTTTGATATCACTGGAATACATTACATTTTAAATATATATTCAAATAGAAAATGGTTATTTTAGATTGAAATAATATTTCACAATATTACTGTATTTTTGATCAAAATAAATGCAAAATCTTACTGGACCCAAACTCTTGAAAAACATTAATAAAACTATTATTTTAAGATGTGAACATTTCTTTATTGGTGCCTTTGCAGACTTCCCGTCCTTATCAGATACTCAAACGCACACACCGTGCATTTCTCTCACCTTCTCTCTGGCTCTTTCTGCTCACAACACTTTACCATTCCACACACATCCTTCTCTCAAGCTTCCCTCCATTTCAGGCTTCTACTCTCATTAGGTTCAGATATTAAAGCTCTCCTCTCAATTAGCAAATAAAGTCTTTCTAAATGAAAAAGAGGAAAATGGAGGAGGGAGAGGTGATGAAATGCATTCATAAACACCAGGGTACACAGAAAAGACCTTGAGCACTGGACATTATGAAGATGGGCTTTTTGTATCATTAAAAGCTGGTTTCCGAAGGACAGTAAATTGCACATTGTGAGACTTGAACATTAGCTGTTTAATGGATGTCTGGATCTTAGTATACACTATTTTATAGTATATAGGAGGTCTGCCTCATGAAATAACTTAATGTGTATGAAGAAATAGGAATCCTCTTATATGTAATAAAATCCAGTGGACTATCCTTAATATGAGCATTAAACATAGCTCTCGTCATTGAGAGTGACAAAGATTAAATTACGTTTTTATAAGAATTTGTATTATTCAAACTAGGACATACTATTTAATCAGTTGTGAAATGCAAAACAATGCTGCATAAAATTGAACGAAGGGATAAATTAACCATGCAATAAATTATTTTTTTTAAGGTTTTAATTTCAAGGCAAATTTCAAAGATCAAGTTTATGTTCCAAGACGCTTGCTTTTTCCCCAAAGCAATCCAGCGGATCTGTAAACAAATTGTGTTCTGTTTGATTGAGCAGTTGGTGTGCTGTTCATATCGTTAATTATCAAAAACCAACAGACAAAGCCAATTGCGTCATGGCCAAAAATGTAGATATTAATTATTTATTCTAATTTCACGGTTGTTCTCAATCTCTGTTCAATTGAAAAGGGCAACTTGCGATTAGCTTCCTGATTAATTGTTATTGATGTAGAAAATTAAGACCAAGTGAAATCACTTGACTGTTTTATGCATTGTCAACAAGTTTGTTGAAATGTGCTGAAGTTTAAAGTTCTCCTGAGAGTACAAAAACACATTCCCATTCAAATGTTTCCTTTGCATTTCAATAAGCGTACTAATTGTGTTCAGTGCAGTCTCTTTAGACAATGTCAGCTCCAGTCAGTGTAGCTTTAAAGCAGATGTCCTCTACCTTTCTCTTCTTTGTACCTGGCAGAGTGTTCATCCCAAACTACATCTCTCGGGTGAAGGTACAGCTTGTGGACTGCAATACAAAGAACAGGAGCGGGGAGAGCTGTCCGGTTCTGCTGAAGATCCGCTCGAGGGCCCCGCCGGTGCATAACTCCAGCGCAATGGACTGCAGAGAGAACGTTCCCTGTGAGCTAGAGGTCCCACTGCCATCCTGGGAGCAGTGGTACTATATTTTGGTGGAGCGTTACCTCAGTAGCTCAGATGTCTACTTTCGTATTGGTGTTCAGGTTAAAGGTAAGAACTTGTTTTAAAGAGACCATTACATGCCCTTTTACAAAGTCTTGATTTTGTTTTTGGGTTCTACTAGATAAGGTTTTCATGTTTGAATGTTCAAAAAACCTTTTCCCATACCTCTCTTCCCAGTCTGTCAGAAACGCACTGTTTAGTTCCTGAAGCCCCTCCCTTTGAAAAGTGCAGTGTGCTCTGATGGTCGGCTGGATCAGTACCTTGTGACTGGTCAACCGAAATGTCACACCCCTTACGATAACCGCGAGTTTCAGCACAATTCTCAAACCTCTACAATGCTAGTTCATATGTGACAAAATCTTTACTCTGGGGGACTAAATAATGTCTATAATTAGCCATTAGCTAATACATTCTTAGATTTTACTCGCCAGTGTGTGTGTGTGTGTGTTAGAAGTATAAGTTTAGAATTGATGTATTTTCACTCGCTCAACACTCTGACTGAGCGCTTGAGAGTTTCGCTCTCCATGAAGCAATCTGTTGTATTTCAGCTCAAATGGATGTGCAGAGTACCTGTATTTGACGTACCGTAAACACTAGTGTGAATGTGCACAACTCGCCTTCGTTTTGCTAAGAGTGCTGTGTGTTTCTCACACACAAGCAAAGAGAGAGAGAGCGAGAGTCTTACATACCACGCAGAATCGACGGTCTATCGACGGATATTCTTTCTTGTATTTTCCTGTTAAAATAACGGAGTTCATTTGGAATTATTCAGCTTTTAAGAACAAGCTGAAAATATGCCGGTTTCTCTGGTAGTGGGCGGAACTAATGCGCAAACGGCAATCTCATTGGCTGGCGCTCATCTATTACCTTCCCTGTTTTGATTTCAGCAAATCAGTTCGAGCGAATGCTGACAACGTGATTAATATTCATGAACCCAGCAGCTTATCAATCCTTAGTGCGTTGTATATTGTTATAATTGCTATTATCTATTACTATGGTATGATATAATTGATGCATTGATACTTACTAGTACTGTAAATATATATTTTTGGGGCCACTATGTGTATAATTTATTATTATTAATATTTTACCATACTACCAGCATATATTAAACTGGTGGAATTTAGGGGCAGGAATCCTTTTTGTAATGAACCAAAAAATACAGTAGAATCAATATTCTGGATTCTGACATGTCATTAACCATGGGCTTTCCACCCGTAACATGAAATCACACTATATGAATAGGTCCACCTGGTACCATCATTTTTTTAGGAAGGCGGCTTTTGGTTGCAACAATCCCTGCAGATTTTGGTGGAAATATTTTAGTCCAGCACAAATGAGATGGCAACAGCTTGATGGTTTGATCCGGGCTTCATTAATTCTTTATTAGGATTTGACAGTACAAATGTTACAGGCATATGGCTCCAAGTCATTGTTTGGTTTCAGCATTGCAATGATTTGCATTTGAGCATATCTGGAAAGTATTCAGACTTCACTGCTAGAAGGGTTTTTACAAAGGCAGGTGTTCTCATGGCCCAGGTGGAGTTGGAAAATTAAAGTGTGTTTAGTGAGACAGGCTTTGTTATGAATCTCTGTGACAAATTAGAACCTCAGTGGGCTCAGATGAGGACCCTGTCATGGATTGGAACCTCCGCCTTTTTTCTGCCTGATGTTACAATGAAGTGTTGATAAATTCCATACTTTTACATGTCTTGAGTCATTGTGATAAATATGGCAATTGGGCTGCTCGCAAAGTGTGAAATAGATGGGGGACTCAATTTAGTCACATGGACCGTATCATTGCAGCATCGGGAAGTTGCATGCTCACCTTAAAAGACTCGCTTTGAGTCAAATGTACTCTTTCTGCTTAAATCTGTACATTATATTTCAAATTACACAGCTATAGTTTATGGTACGCTGATGAGCCAAAACATTATAACCAGTCACAGGTGAAGCGAATATCGTTGATCATCTCCTAACTAGGCCACATATTAAGGTCTGGGTAGATTAGAAAGTAAGCAAACAATCAGCTCTCGTAATCAATGTATTGGATGCAGGAGAAATGGGCAGGAATAAAGATCTGAGTGACTTTGACAAGGGCCAAATTGTTATGGCAAGGCGATGGAGCAAGGCTTGTGGGTTGCTTCCGGTCAGCAGTGGTGAGAATTTACCAACAGTAGTCCAAGGAAGGACAAACCACAACCCGACAACAGGGTGTTGGGCGTCCAAGGCTCATCAATGCATGGGGCAGGTGGTCATAATGTTGTGGCTCATCCGTGTATATTCATATGACCCGCTTTTGTCAGAATGTCTGATTGGATCTCAATTTTTAGAGCACTTAAATATTGTTTACTATATTAGAACTTAAAGTGACTTCCCTATTAAAACACCTCTAGTTTACAAGGTCAAAATTTAATTTCCCCCCTCACAGCAGTGACACTTTTAGCAAAAATCCCCCACTCTGCTTCTATCAAATCTACCATGTTCTCTCATTTTGTCTGAGGTTTCCTCTGTTCCCCCATTTTTCCTCCACATCCTGTGGTGCAGCAGAATCCCTGCCTTTGTTACAGCCTTGATGCCAAGGGATGTTGGCGCTGATGGCTCGGTAAGAGGGGATGAAGAGGAGGGCCATTGATGTTCAATGAGGCTGAACAGTCTCAGACCAGCTTAGATAAAGCACTCACAGGGGGAAACAATTGGCCATGATGAGGCGGTGTACCTGCGGAGAGCATTATCTGTGTGCGTGAGGAGCTGAAAAAGGAAAAGCCTGTCTAGCAAGGAGTTATTGCAGTGACGTTCTGTCACATTCAAGGCTGAGAGTCAATTTTGTCACCAAAGACTATTTGCTGCATTTATAAAGGAGGAACAAAATCTTTTTTGCTCAATGAATTTGGGCTGTCAAAAGATTACAGCATTACAATAGATTAAAAATATCATGATTTCATAGCCTGGGAAACCCAGACAACTTCCGGCAAATTTAGATTTGCTCTGCAAGTTAGTCTGGCGAAGAACTCATTCAAGCCCATTTCTAAGCTGTCGAAATCGCGGCACCAATCAGAAACGTTGGGGCGGGCTTTACACCATGACGGTGAATCAGATTTTGTACATTTACAAAGATGGATGCCGCCGTGGAACTAGGGGTGTGACGGTTATAGATGAGCACCGTCATTAGAACTCTAGAACCGCCAAAACCATGTTATTAAAATATTTTTTTCACAAACATTTTTTATCATAGAGAATGTTTAAATACTAATATCAGCTTACGAGGGAAACGGAGGCGGAGTTAGTTGTGCTTCGGAGGCTGCTACTGCTGGAGATGATTCGGGAGAGGTCTGTGCACCCCCCCTCCCAAGAAGAGAAGTCTTGGAGATCTCCTTAATTAAACGGAGGTCTGAAATCTCTGCCCCTTTACCGATCAGAGCGCGCGCTGAGACGGAGTAAAGCCTTGTTTATACCTTGGCTGTGTGCACGGCTGTTTTTGCGCGCGCGGCGCCGCGTCCGAGGATGACCGACTTCAAGCCGAATCTGCCCGAGCATGTACGTCTCACCGCACCGGCACCCAGTTTGCGCGTCTAAATTGCAAAGTTTTTTTTGTTAAGGTTTTGTTTACTGTGTGTGATTTATTTAATGGAAAGCACATTCACTTCTAGTTGTCTTGCTGTTCATTTTAAATAAACGTAGAGCAAGTAGCTAACCAGTGTCTGCTCGTTTATTCAGTGTCGCTCTGCATACGTCATCTCCTTCATCGCTCTGATTGGTTTTAGGTCTATCCAATTGCGCCCAGAGGCATTTGAGCTACGTCCGTTGGTGACGCCCCTTTGGAAATGATTTGTCTATGAAGCATTGCCAGACCATAACTCAGTTACAACTGAGAATGGTCTGGTTTTAACCAGGCTAATGATTTCAGCCTTTTGGCAAGTAATCTCACATTCTCGCATTCCTTTTTGATACATTCAGTCCTCTTTTCATGAAATAAATCAACTTAATAAGAACCTAAGATTTTTACTACTAACCTACAGCAGTCCATGGGAGGTTTTTGCATTAACGGTGTTTTTGCTCTTTGGTGATATTTCATATTTGTTGTTGATGATTAAATTCTTCCGTGCAAAGACTACAGTTGAATATACATTTGTTAAAAGTAAAACGATAGTCAGTACATGTAAAGTGAGACACTTTCTGATATTTTGTCCCTGGCTTTGTTTTTGAAACATGAATCAAATGGACACATCAATGTAATTGCATACTAATTTCGGATTAATGCAGATTTATAGTAATGGAAGCATATACGCAAAATGATGGGTGATTAAGTTTAAGTGTCCCGCTATACCTTTGTTCACCCATTATTAGTACCGCTTATTATGTAATTGTGGCTAATCTAGTGACCCGACCGCACTGCAATCAAGGTAATATTAGACATAATCTAACACTGTCATTCGTTTCCCCTCTGTGCTATTTTTCACTATTTATGATGGTCCATACCCTGTATCGTATGACCTTGTAATATCACCTGTGTCTGAAGATTTTGGTCAGCGCTTCTGTCAGCCTTAATTGAATTATTCTGAACCCAGCTCCCCTTACCTTGATCAATTTCACTGAACAGCAGATACTGGCCGGCTGCCATCTCTCTCCCATCTTCCAAGCCGGCCTGACTCTTCATGTCCTTCCTTTGCTGTCTCTCTACACCATTCAGTTCTCTTGATGGTCGTAATGGAGAGAACAGACCATTTGTAAATTTAACAAGAACCAAGTTGCTGTGTGCATAAAATCAATTTCCTCTCATCTATGTTCACAACAAACTTGTTGGGTGAAACAAATGTCAAACTCACAGAAAAACTAAAATGATTAAAATTCACATTTTATATGATGCTCTGATGAACTAAATGTCATAGCCTAAAAGACCAGTAGATGTTTTAAAAAAAAAAAATCAATGTTTCAAACATTATTATAGTCATGTGAAATTGGACAATGGATTTGTTTCAGTACTAGGCACTGAATATTATTATTTTTCTCCAAAGGTTTTTTTATTGAATGACAACAATTACTGTTCG